CTCTCTGTGTATCCCCGCGGGTCTGCAGCGGGCGCCTCGCGCGCTCGGTTTGAATTTGATTGACAGGTTTCCCCCTAACGGCCTCCTGGCTGCTTTCCTCGCCGTTTCTCTTTTCTCCGTCTGCCAGCGGATCCAGTAGCTCTCCGTTCCGCCCCGCATATTCGCCAGCAAACAACGTCTCTCTCTCTCTCGGTAGTAGACGGAGAGGCAACAGACGTTCTTTATTTTTTTTTAAAAAAACACGGTTCTTCCTCCCTTTCTCGCAATTAACAAAAACGATCTGTAACGCTTTCCCGATATTGGAGGATGCCTTTTTTTTTCATTGATGGAATCTGCCCCTGCAGCTACAAAAATAGAGATCTCACTATGGCAACGACTTGCATTTATATCCAACGTTCGACGAATTCATAGCCAGCGACAAGGAATCTCTTAGGAGAATAAACATGGTCAAAAAGATAATTCTGAAGGCGATGCGGAGGACAGGGATCTGGCATATTAATACACAAATCACTGAATGTGGATTGAGAAAATGGTTAATAAAGCACAGGAGATCCTTAACAATTTACCTCGACCAATATATTCGGTCACCTGTCCTATTGAAATGGGGGAAAAAAAAAGAAAACTGCGAATGCTGGAGATTGGAAACGTAAAGAGAAATTGCTGGAAAAACTCAGCAGGTCTGGGAAGAAAGCAGAGTGAACGATTCACGCCCAAACTTGCATTTTTATAGCACCTTCTGTCAAGAATTTGTCAAGATTGCTCTACAGCCAATGAAGTTATTTTTGGAGTGGAGTCATTGTTGCAATTTCAGGAGTGTGGAAGTAATTTGTTCACAATAGTTCTACAAACAGCAATGTGATAATAGATTAATAGAGGTGTACAGCATGGGACAGACCCTTCGGTCCAACTCATCCATGACGACCAGATATCCTAAATTAATCTAGTGCCAGTTGCCAGTATTTGACCATATATCTCTAAACCCTTCATGTACCTGTCCAGATGCCTTTTAAATGTTGTAATTATACCAGCCACCACCACTTCCTCTGGCAGCTCATTCCATACATGCACCATCCTCTACGTGAAAAAGTTGCCCATTAGGTTCCTTTTAAATCTTTTGCAACTCACCTTAAACCTATGCCCTCTAGTTTTGGACCGCCCTACCCTGTGGAAAATACCTTAGCTATTCACCCTATCTATGCCCCTTATGACTTCAAAAACTTCTTTGAGGTTACCCCTCAACCTCCTTTGCTGTAGGGAAAATCGCCCCAGCCTATTCAGCCTCAACCTATAGCCCAAACCCTCCATCCCTGGCAACATTCTTCTAAATATTTTCTGAATCCTTCCAAGTTTCACAACAGCCTTCCTATAGTAGGGAGACCAGAATTGAACTCGGTATTCCAAAGTGGCCTAAGTAATATCCTATAAAGCTGCAACATGACCTCCCAACTCCCATACTCAATGCACTGACCAATAAAGGCAAGCATACTAAATGCCTTTTTCACTATCCGGTCTACCTGCAACTCTGCTTTCAAGGAACTATGAATAGGCACTAAGATAACAGAGCTGGATGGACACAGCAGGCCAAGCAGCATCAGAGGAGCAGGAAGACTGACGTTTCAAGCCTAGACCCTTCTTCAGAAATGGGCAAGGGGAAGGGGGTTCTGAAATAAATAGGGAGAGAGGGGGAGGCGGATAGAAGATGGATAGTTGTTTAGTGCGAACCGAGCGTAGGTGTTCCTCGGAGGCTTGGGGACCGCTTTGCAGAACACCTACGCTCGGTTCGCACTAAACAACTGCACCTCCCAGTCGCGAACCACTTCAACTCCCCCTCCCATTCCTCAGACAACATGTCCATCCTGGGCCTCCTGCAGTGCCACAACGATGCCACCCGAAGGTTGCAAGAACAGCACCTCATATTCCGCTTGGGAACCCTGCAGCCCAATGGTATCAATGTGGACTTCACAAGCTTCAAAATCTTCCCTCACCCTACCGCTCCCAAAACCAGCCCAGCTTGTCCCCGCCACCCTAACCTGTCCTTCCTCCCACCTCAAGCCCCCCCCCCCTCTCCTACCTACTAACCTCATCCCGCCCCCTTGACCTGTCCATCCTCCCTGGACTGACCTATCTTCTCCCTAATTCCCCACCTACACTCACCTTTACTGGCTCCATCCCCGCCTCTTTGTCTGTCTCCTCTCCACCTATCTTATCCTCTATCCATCTGCTATCTGCCTCCCCCTCTCTCCCTATTTATTTCAGAACCCCCTTCCCTTCCCCCATTTCTGAAGAAGGGTCTAGGCCCGAAACGTCAGCCTTTCTGCTCCTCTGATGCTGCTTGGCCTATTGTGTTCATCCAGCTCTACACCTTGTTATCTCATCTTTAACATCAATCTCATTAGAGTCATACAGGATAGAAAAGGTCCTTTGGCCCATTGAGTCTGCACTGACAAAAGCATTACATGAATGCAACTCTTAGTTAAAAATGCAGCCCCTGAAAATTTTGTACTTGAGGGTTAAATAAATCTTTAGAATTTCAATTCACACGTTTCAAGATCCAGGGTCAGAATTCAGTACAAGATGAAATGAGGACTCCAGGGCACTTTATTTTACACAGAGTTCTTATCTACAGATGTCGCAGGCCTGATTTCAGCTGGGTTAATCTCAGTAAGGGCAAACTGAGACTCTTAATTGGCCCTTAATTATCCACTCTAGGGCATGAATTGGCAATGGTATGGACAAGTTGACCATGGACATTCCCACCTTGAATCTAATCCCAATGAAGGAACATGGAATGTCAAGTTTGTATTTGGTACCATATAAACAAATTGAGTGGTCTCCTCAACTTCAAGCTCACCACCTCCAGAAGACAAGATTTTATCCAATGTTTATGGTCTGTGCCTTGAAACGTTTCCACTCCACAGACGTACCTGGACTTGCTGAGTATTTCCAACATTTTTTATTTTGTGTTCTGCATTTCTAGTGCCTGCTTAGGATTGGTGGTAAATCATTTTCACTCAGTGCACAAATGCACCCAGTGGGAGTAGGCAGTCGGTTTCATAAAAAAAGTACAGAGAACCATATAACCAGAAAATTATTCATTCACAGAATGTGCATGTCCCTGGCAAAGCCACCATTTATTGCCCATCCGTTATTGCTTCTCAGAACATAATGGTGGTAATTATTTGGATGAGAGTATAGAAGGCATGGTTAGTAAGTTTGTGGACTACATCAACATTGGTGTCCTAATAGATAGTGAAGAAGGTTTTCTAAGATTACAAAGGGATCTCGATCAAACAGGTCAATGGGATGAAAAATGGCAGATGGATTTCAATCTGGATTAATGTAACGTATTGAGTTTTGGTACAAAAAATAAAGGTAGGGCTTATACAATTAATGGTGGGGCCTTGGATAGTGTTGTAGAACAGAGGGATCTAGGCGTTCAGGTACATAATTCTTTGAAATTTGCGTCACATATAGACAGGGTGGTTAAAAAGGCTTTTGGCACACTTGCCTTCATCGCTCAGTCCTTTGATTTGGGAAGTTACTTTGAGTTTGTATAGGACATTGATGAGGCTTCTTCTGGAATACTGCACCCAATTCTGCAGTTGTTTGTTAGCTCGCCAAGCTGGTTGTTCTGTGGTGTACAGACATTTCGTTACCCTTCTACGCAACATCATCAGTTCAGCCTCTAATCGAAGTGTTGGTGTTCTGCTTCCTTCTGGATTTATATGATCTTCTGGTGTGATGATCTTGTCGCTTCCAGTTCTGTTGTTTTAGCAGCGGTCTGTATTTGGGGTTTATTTCTTTGTGTTTGTTAATGGAGTCCCATGTTGAGAACCAGACTTCCAGAAGTTCCTTTCCATGTCTGGTGTTAGCTTGTCCCGGTATGGTCACTTTGTCCCAGTCGAACTGATAGCCCTCACTGTATTGAGACAGATGATTATTGGTTGTATCTTTTTACTGCTAGCTAGTGTTCGTGTATGCTGGTCATCAGTTTCCTGCCTGTTTGTCCAACATAATGTTTTTTGCACTCGCTACATGGTCTTCTGTGTATCACATTGGTCTTATTTACTGTCGGTATGGGGTCTTTGCAGATCAATGGCACACCTATGGGATCACCCATCTCAGGTCTCATCGTGGAAGCAGTGATGCAGAGATTGGAACACACAGTCCTTCCTAAAATCCAACTGAAAATGTGGGTAAAATACACGGACAGCCCATTTGTAATAATCAAATGCACAAAAGTAGAAGAAACCCACCAATTTGTCAACAACATCTTCGCAAACATAAATTTCGTGGGAGAGAAAGAAAACAACAAACAGCTCCCGTTCTTAGATGTAATGGTAGAGACATTGACAAACAGCAAATTCTGGACTCGACTATACAGGAAGGCCACACACACAGATCAAATCCTTAACTTCAATAGCAACCACCCCACCATTCACAAACAGAGCTGCATCAAGACACTATTTAAACAAGCTGCATCACACTGCAACACCCCAGCACTCCGGAGAATGGAAGAGGAACACCTACACAAAGTTTTCACCGACAATGGTTACCCAAGAAGTTTCGTCTGCTGATGCCTACAAAACAAACGACAGTCAGAGGACACGGTACAACAGAAGACACTAGCAATGCTGCCCGACATCAAAAATATATCAGAAACGATTACCAGACTCCTAAGACCGCATAAGATCATGATTGCACACAAACCTACAGCAACACTGCGCTAAATGTTATCAAAGACTAAAGACCCCATACCTACAGTAAACAAGACCAACGTGATATACAGAATGCCATGCAGCGAATGCAATAAACATTACATTGGACAAACAGGAAGGAAACTGATGACCAGCATACACGAACACCAGCTGGCAGTAAAAAGACACAACCAATATTCACATGTCTCGATACATACAGACACTGAGGGCCATCAGTTCGACTGGGACAAAGTGACCATACTGGGAC